TTCCACTGATTAGTTTACAAAAGAGACAATCCAATAAAACCAGTATTCACTAGGATACAGGTTTTTGACAATTACAAGCAGTGACCTCACTTTGTGCAGGGTTTATTCAAAACCCAAATGGAGAATTTCTCCTCTGTTTCCGTGGTAACTAACCAGTAGTCCCCTAAGGCTTTGCTGTGTGTTCCCCAGTAAGTACAGGTTAACTACCCATTAGCTCCTGATTTGTTCCTCTTTGGTTTCCTTGGTAACTACCCATTAGTTCTTGGTTAGTTCCTCTTCATTTACAAGGTAACTAACCAGTAGTCTCCTAATAAGGCTTGGCTGTGTTTTCCAGTAAGTACTGGTTAACTACCCATTAGCTCCTGATCTCTTCCTGAGGCGTTCCCTAGTAGTTAATCAAATCTTGACAAACTGTATGAACCCATAGTTTCTCTCCAACCTGACTATACCTGCAGTCCAGCTTTTAGCTGAAAGTCTCTTCTGCCTGCAGGTAAATTGGTCCCTAATTATTTCTGAATACCTGACCTTTTATCCATTATGTGTTAATGGTTGTGTGTGTTAGAGCGGGTCAGTAAAACAGCTGCAGGGGGAGTAGAGATCAGCTTGATTAGAGCCCTGCTAAAAGCTTTCTTTGCTCTGTACGGTAAATGGCTGAAACTGCTCCACAACCTATTGAGGAGTCCATTAGCTGATCTGCCACATCTGATTATCTACACAGCAGAATTTTGAAGGGAGAAGCAGCGAGCTGTGTTTTTCCAAGCGCAGCCGAAAACGACAGAGGCCGCCATTCTTGCTCTTCTCATCTTCCTCCTCTACGTGCGCTCTCCCCCATTCCAATTAGCCAAGGAGCCAGCTGGAGGGACGGCAGAGCTGCAGTGAAACTAACCGCTCGACGTCTTTTCATCTCCAGCTCCTCTCTCTCTTTCTCCCTCTCTCTCTCTCTCTCCCTCTCTGCCTGTCTGCCTGTGTCTGACACAAACAGCCAAATGCAGACAGACAGTCAAAGCATTTAGACACAACTACACGAGTGCTGGTTTTATTTTCCTGGTCTATTTTTAATGCCGGACCTTAAGTTAT